GCTGAGGCTTACTTGGGAAAAAAGGTAAGTGTCTTTGTAACAATGTTAATTTTATTATTACTATTCTTGACAGATTTTGTGGTATAAGTGCCTTCATTGTTTTAATAATTTGAATCTGAATGACATTCATGTATATCAGTTTTAATTCCTTGCATGCTTTACTGTAGGCCAAACAAGATACTAGGGACTTTCCTTGGGTACAAAATTATATATATTATGCCCATTTTACAAGTAAACTGGCTTAGAAACTGAAGTGATGGTTTGACTGTAACTTAAAATAAGGGTTAAGCCATGTAATAAAATACACTTACCTTTGGTTATTTTTTTAGGTTACCCATGCAGTTGTTACTGTACCAGCCTACTTCAATGATGCCCAACGCCAGGCAACCAAAGATGCTGGAACTATCGCTGGATTGAATGTCATGAGAATCATCAATGAGCCGTAAGTGTTAAATTCAAAGGGATGGATATTTGCTAAATAGGGAAAATGTAAACTTAACTGAATTTTTTTTTCCCCTTGAATTCTCCTAACAGTACAGCAGCTGCTATTGCTTATGGCCTGGATAAGAGGGAAGGGGAGAAGAACATCCTGGTGTTTGACCTGGGTGGTGGAACCTTTGATGTGTCTCTTCTCACCATTGATAATGGTGTCTTTGAAGTTGTGGCCACTAATGGAGATACTCATCTGGGTGGAGAAGACTTTGATCAGCGTGTCATGGAACACTTCATCAAGCTCTACAAAAAGAAGACTGGCAAAGATGTTAGGAAAGACAACAGAGCTGTGCAGAAACTCCGGCGTGAGGTAGAAAAGGCCAAACGGGCCCTGTCTTCTCAACATCAAGCAAGAATTGAAATTGAGTCCTTCTATGAAGGAGAAGACTTCTCTGAGACCCTGACTCGGGCCAAATTTGAAGAGCTAAACATGGTATGTTCCTTGTTTTTTGCTTTGTTGATGAGATCTAGTTAGATTCTCTTGAGTTTGGACAGTGCATTTAGAAATTGAGACAATATACCAGTATAACATGTCATCACAGTAATTAATGTCTCGTATTCTAGGACCTGTTCCGTTCTACCATGAAGCCTGTCCAGAAAGTGCTGGAAGATTCTGATTTGAAGAAGTCTGATATTGATGAAATTGTTCTTGTTGGTGGCTCTACTCGAATCCCAAAGATTCAACAACTGGTTAAAGAGTTCTTCAATGGCAAGGAGCCATCCCGTGGCATAAACCCAGATGAGGCTGTAGCGTATGGTGCTGCTGTCCAGGCTGGTGTACTCTCTGGTGATCAAGATACAGGTAGGTCAGGATCACAAGCATCGTCCACAGTGCTTCGGCGGCTTGATGGGAAGAGTATAATTAGCTGTTACTTTAGAAAGGGATAGAATATGAGCAACAAGGTCACACAGCTAATAAAGGACGCAGGACAAGACCCGGTACAGTTTCAAGATCTTACGCAACTATATTTAATTCATTGCTTCTAAAATGGTTTTGCATAGAACCTAACCAAATAGCAAGATGGAGAAGATCAAGTTGTACTGGTCATGAGGAGACTGCTTGGTAGTGCTCTTGTGACTCTTTAATTAGAACTTAACTCTTAACTCTCTATTACCTTTGCAGGTGATCTGGTACTGCTTGATGTATGTCCCCTTACGCTTGGTATTGAAACCGTGGGAGGTGTCATGACCAAACTGATTCCAAGGAACACTGTGGTGCCCACCAAGAAGTCACAAATCTTTTCTACAGCCTCTGATAATCAGCCAACTGTTACAATCAAGGTTTATGAAGGTAATTGTTTACCTTTGTTAATACCGTGGTGTGTTTGTGAACAGTATGACTTCTTGCTTACTATACTCTGTTGAAAAGAGTAGGGAAAGAAATATCTGTTTTCAGATGAGGGTCCCTAACTTGACTAGTGTTGAATTTGGTATAGTCAGCATTAAAATCCAGTTTTTACCTAGCTACATAGCACTCCTTCCCATTAGGAATAATTTCTGAGCTATTTCTAGAACACAGGAACAAGAAAAGGGTTCATGTAAAGTAGGTGAAATTCAACTAAGAGTTAGTAGTAACTTAATTCACTGTTAGTCCCATTTGTTGCTTCTTATAGATTAGTGACCCACTTCTGGATTGATAAGAGTGTCCTTGCCACTGTAGGCTTTAACAGACTGAAATGTAGGGATCCAGATGTACTGTTTGTCATTAACAACTAACAAGATTTTTGTGTGTAACTTCTAGGTGAACGCCCCCTGACAAAAGACAATCATCTCCTGGGAACTTTTGATCTGACTGGAATTCCTCCTGCTCCCCGTGGGGTCCCACAGATTGAAGTCACCTTTGAGATAGATGTGAATGGCATTCTCCGAGTGACAGCTGAAGACAAAGGTACAGGCAACAAAAATAAGATCACAATTACCAATGACCAAAATCGCCTGACACCTGAAGAAATTGAAAGGATGGTTAATGATGCAGAGAAGTTTGCTGAGGAAGACAAAAAGCTCAAAGAGCGCATTGATACCAGAAATGAATTGGAAAGCTATGCCTATTCTCTAAAGAATCAGATTGGTGATAAAGAAAAGCTGGGAGGTAAACTTTCCTCTGAAGATAAGGAGACCATGGAAAAAGCCGTAGAGGAAAAGATTGAATGGCTGGAAAGTCACCAAGATGCTGACATCGAAGATTTCAAAGCTAAGAAGAAGGAACTAGAAGAAATTGTTCAGCCAATTATCAGCAAACTCTATGGAAGTGCAGGTCCTCCCCCAACTGGTGATGAGGAACCAGTAGACAAAGATGAGTTGTAGACACTACTCTGCTAGTGCTGTAATATTGTAAATACTGGACTCAGGAACTTTCGTTAGGAAAAAATTGAGAGAACTTAAGTCTCAAATGTAATTGGAATCTTCACCTTGGAGTGGAGTTGAAAATGCTATAGCCCAAGTGGCTGTTTACTGCTTTTCATTAGCAGTTGCTCACATGTCGGGGTCAGAATTGGCTATCTTAAAAAGTGGGTAAAAAGCTGGGTTAGGGCATGTGTTCACTATGGAAATGTTCTATTTAACAATTGGGTCATGTGCATCTGGTTTAGGAACTTTATTTTCTACCATAAGTGACACCAATAAATGTTTGTTATTTACACTGGTCTAATATTTGTGATAAGCTTTCTAATTAGGTCAATCATTTATTTTAGGTTTATATTCTCATGGAACGGAGGGGGGTGTTGGGGTTTTGAGGTAAGGAAACATTTTTATTTAGTACTCTCCGAGAACTTGCCTAACTTCAGTTTAATTTACCCATATCCTCACTTAGGCAAGGGCCATTTCACAATGCCCAAGAGTGGAGTTTTCTTGAACATGTTTGAAATTTCCTCTTTTCCTTTATCTTTCTGAAACTGTCTGGTGGCTTTTTTAATATGTCTTTATTGATTTCAGAGAGAGGAAAGGAAGGGAGAGAGAGAAGCATCAGTGATCAGAGTGTCATTGACTGGTTGCCTCCTGCATTTCCCCCCC